TTCTCGATACGCAAAAAATTAGTGAATGAACAGTTGAGAGACATGGCCCAATTAGCCGAGAAGGTAAGAAGAATTGAGCAAATCAAAATAGAAAAAGAAAGATTAAGAAAATTTGATAAGTTTGTTCGAAAGGAAAAGGTGGCTTACTTAGAAAATTCCGAATTCAGTGAAGATTCCAACTGTGAGGTTTCGAGTGAAGATTTTGAGATCAACTTAGCAGAACTGCGTCCTGGCCCCACGTATCAGTGTCAAATGTTAAAACCAGGAGATAGTGTAGAAGGAAATTCGACTAAGAAATATAGTTTCGACGTAACTAAAGCAGAAAAGATATTTGATATCTTACTAAAAGATAAACAAATTGTACTCCCAGAAAATCATAAGATCCCATCATTCGAGCAGAGAAAAGGAAAGAAATTTTGCAAATATCATAATATGTATGGTCATTGGACTAACAACTGTGTACGTTTTAGGGATTTGATCGAAAAGGCGATTACTGATGGTCACCTTGCTTTCGGAGAGAAGGATATGAAAGTTGACACAGACCCATTCGCTGCTCATACTGGATATGTCGAACCAGTTCCAATGGGGATCAACATGGTGGATGTTACTGTCGAGGATGATGAGAACATCGAACCTATTTCTGATGAGAAGCTCGAGGAATTAATGGAGGATTTTTCTAAGGAGCAGGAACCTATCTACCCAAAAGAAGGGGATAGTCTGGTTGAGTTCCTGTCGAAGAAGAAAGAAGCTGATAAAGAGGTTATGTTGTGCCCTTGATGCAACGCTATTTTCGATAGAGCTGCGGCTAAGGCGTTCGAAGAATCGGAAATGATGAAAAGCTATAAGGCTGAAAAGCTGCGTGAGAAAGCTAGACTCAATGCTCAGTCGAATGCTGGGTTGACCATGAGGCAGGTTCATATGCCTCAATATAATGCTCTAGTAGGGAAGATAGAGATGTACAACTCGTCAAGATTCGGCAATACTTTTGTGCCGAGTGCGAATGTACCTATAGGAAAATGGAATGCACCACCAAGGCCTGCAATTGGTGGAATGGGTCGAGGAAAACAGATAATGAATTATGCTGCACATCCAATGCAAGGAATTCTTGGGAAAGCTCCAAATTCGACTACAGGACCCGGTGGAGTCTCGATTGGAGGCTATGGGCGTGGCTTTCGACAGCCTTTCAACAATCTAACCAAAACCCAGTGGAGGAGACAACAAAGGATGCGTAAGGCTACCTTCGAAGGCGTCAGGGGAAATCGTTTCTCGGTTCCGATCCCTCAGAAAGGAGAATCCTCTCGGAAGTTCGTCGAAGACGATGAAGACATGATAACTGATTGTTTCGAGAGTGGCTTCGAGGATTCCCTGGAAGACATTTGTGGGGTAGTCTCCATTTTACCCTCAGAGTATGCTGGGGCTATGGAGTCTGTGAATGAACTAGAGGATATGCAGCGAGAAGACTTCTTTGATGACCCCAACTATGAATCCAAAATCATTTGGGTCAATCAAATCTCGAGGGTCATCCCCAAGTTCAATTCTGCTGTCTTCGATTCTCCCACGGAGGAAATGAAAGGACACCTTAAGCCCCTATTGTTAACACTGATGATCAAGGGGCAAGAGGTGAACAAGGTCTTGGTCGATGGA